CCCCGCCCACCCGTCCTATTTCAATTCTGATGATTTATTTTATTCATCGTGCTATGTTAAACATGTTCTTAAGTAATTGTGTTCTCTAAAGAAAACTACGTTTTGAGTAACAAAAAGCCAAAGATTAAGCCCCACCCGCCCGCCCCGATCTGAATTGTGACGAGTGTTTCGTTCGTAATTAGACTGAGGGGTGGAGTGTTATTGCATAATGAATATTTTCTAAGAAAATAAAGGGCGGGCGGGTGGAGCTAGTACCTGATAAGACTGATTTTAGCAAATGACGTATTCTCTAAGAAATTTAATTAAATTGTTATAAGAAAAGACACTGAAGGAATACCTAGAACCTCAACATTGTTTTAAATTTTTCAAAAAAAAAACTGTCCCAAAAATTAACTCAAAATTAGATCAGAATTTTCCAAAAATAGAACACCAAAGTCCCCCAAAATTGTTTTAAACAATTTACAAAAAAAAAATCCATGGGCTCCCAAAAAATTGTATAATATAATAGTTGGTTTTTGAAAAAATTTGAAATAATGTTGGAGGCCCTCTTTTTGGTTTTTCAAAGAAGTTAAAAAACTTGGAGCCTCTGGTGTTTTCTTTTTCAAAATATTGATAGAATATTGGGGTTTTTGGTGTTTTATTTTGAAACAATTTAACAAAACTGTTGGTGGTACCTGGCATTTTGAAAAAATAAAAAATATATCGGAGGAATCTGGTGTTTTGTTTTCGAAAGAATTTGAACGAATCTGGGACTGCTGGTGTTTTTTTTTAGATCGGATTTAAAGGAATTTCGGACAATCTCGAAGGCTCCTGGTGTATTTTTTTCTGAGCGAATTGGAAAAAAACTTGGAAGTGATTTGTTTTTGAAAGAATGTGAAATAATGTTGGGTATCCTGTTATTTTTTCGTGAAGGCTTTTAGTACTTCGTTTTTGAAAGAATTTAAAAAAATGTTGGATCTCATCGTTTTCGGTTTTTCAAAGAGATTAAGAAACCTGGGGCCCCTGGTATTCGTAAATTGAAAGAATCTTAGGTTCCTGGTGTTTCTTATTTTCAAATAATTCTTAAAAACTTTGAACGCACCTGGTATTTTGAAAGAATTTAAAAATAGCTTCTCGTTTTTGGTTTTTCAAAGGGTTTTATACCAGGTGTCTGGAAAACAATAACTTAAAATATTAATTGATGAATTTGAGGTTAGAATTATCTGTTAAGTCTCGTCTTGTTGAAAGAAAACTGTATATTAAGAGAAAATAAGCCCCACCCACCCGCCCCTACGTCACATGTGATGAATTTTCCATTCGTTATTAGACCGAGGGGCGGAGCGTATTAATAAAATACATATTTCCCTACAAAAATTTACCATTTTGAACATGTTTTAAGTTTCTTGTTCTGAAAAGAAGACAACATATGATAAAACGAACAAAATATAAACCCCACCCTCCCACCCTATCTCAATTATGATGAACCTTAACTGCAAAATGTTTATTTTTTTATAAGAAAATGCTATGTGAAACATGTTCTTAAGTAATATATTCTTTAAAGAAAACTACGTTTTGAGTAACAAAAAGCCAAAGATTAAGTCCCACCCACTCGCCCCGGTCTGAATTGTGATGAGTATTTCATTCGTCATTAGACTGTGGGGCGGAGTTTAATTGCCTAATCCATATTCCTCCACAAATTTTATCCTTTTAAAACATATTTCAGATGGTACTTTCTTGTGGAGAAATCAGGATTTTGCAATTAAGCTTCGCCCCTCGGTCTAACAACGAATGGAAAATTCATCACAATTGAGAAGGGGTGGGTGGGCGGGGCTTATATTTTGTCCAATTTTTCTTAATATACGAAGTCTTCTTTTCCCAACAAGAAACTGAAAACATGTTTAACTATCGTATAAGGTTTTAATTAAGTTCCGCCCCCAACCCACACAACGAATAAAAAAATTAATTACAACTAAGATAGGGTGGGTGGGTGGATGGGGCTTATGCTTTGAGTTTCTTTCCGTAATGTACGTACTCTCCTTTCAACAGTAACTTAAAATATCAAATAGTGAATTTGAGGTTAGAATTATCTGTTAAGTCTCGTCTTGTTGAAAGAAAACTGTATATTAAGAGAAAATAAGCCCCACCCACCCGCCCCTACGTCACATGTGATGAATTTTCCATTCGTTATTAGACCGAGAGGCGGAACGTATTAATAAAATACATATTTCCCTACAAAAATTTACCATTTTGAACATGTTTTAAGTTTCTTGTTCTGAAAAGAAGGCAACGTATGATAAAACAAACAAAATATAAACCCCGCCCTCCCACCCTATCTCAATTATGATGAACCTTAACTGCAAAATGTTTATTTTTTTATAAGAAAATGCTATGTGAAACATGTTCTTAAGTAATATATTCTTTAAAGAAAACAACGTTTTGAGTCAAAAAAGCCAAAGATTAAGCCCCACCCACCCGCAGCGGTCTGAATTGTGATGAGTATTTCATTCGTCATTAGACTGTGGGGCGGAGTTTAATTGCCTAATCCATATTCCTCTACAAATTTTATCCTTTTAAAACATATTTCAGATGGTAATTTCTTGTGGATAAATGAGGATTTTGCAATTAAGCTTCGCCCCTCGGTCTAACAACGAATGGAAAATTCATCACAATTGAGAAGGGGCGGGTGGGCGGGGCTTATATTTTGTCCAATTTTTCTTAATATACGAAGTCTTCTTTTCCCAACAAGAAACTGAAAACATGTTTAACTATCGTATAAGGTTTTAATTAAGTTCCGCCCCCAACCCACATAACGAATAAAAAAATTAATTACAGCTAAGATAGGGTGGGTGGGTGTATGGGGCTTATGTTTTGAGTTTCTTTTCGTAATGTACATACTCTCCTTTCAACAATTACTTAAAATATCAAATGGTGAATTTGAGGTTAGAATTATCTGTTAAGTCTCGTGTTGTTGAAAGAAAACTATGTATTAAAAGAAAATAACCCAATGATTAAGCCCCACCCACCCGCCCCTATCTCAATTGTGATGAATTTTCCATTCGTTGTTAGACCGAGGGGCGGAGCGTATTTATAAAATACCTATTTGCCTACAAAAATGTACCATTTTGAACATGTTTTACTTTTCTTGTTGTGAAAAGAAGGTAACGTATGATAAAAAAAAGCAAAATATGAGCCCCGCCCACCCGCCCTATTTCAATTCTGATGATTTATTTTATTCATCGTGCTATGTTGAACATGTTCTTAAGTAATTGTGTTCTCTAAAGAAAACTACCTTTTGAGTAACAAAAAACCAAAGATTAAGCCCCACCCACCCGCCCCGATCTGAATTGTGATGAGTGTTTCATTCGTAATTAGACTGAGGGGTGGAGCGTAATTGCATAATGAATATTTTCTAAGAAAATAAAGGGCGGGCGGGTGGAGACTGATTTTAGCAAATGACGTATTCTCTAAGAAATTTAATTGAATTATATTAAGAAAAGACACTAAAGGAATACCTAGAACCTCATCATTGTTTTAAATTTTTCAAAAAAAAAAACTGGCCCAAAAATTAACTCAAAATTAGATCAGAATTTTCCAAAAATAGAACACCAAAGTCCCCCAAAATTGTTTTAAACAATTTACAAAAAAAATCCATGGGCTCCCAAAAAATTGTATAATGTAATAGTTGGTTTTTGAAAAAAATTGAAATAATGTTGGGGGCCCTTCTTTTTGGTTTTTCAAAGAAGTTAAAAAACTTGTTTTGATTTTCAAAATATTGATAGAATATTGGGGTTTTTGGTGTTTTATTTTGAAACAATTTAACAAAACTGTTGGTGGTACCTGGCATTTTGAAAAAATAAAAAATATATCGGAGGAATCTGGTGTTTTGTTTTCGAATGAATTTGAACGAATCTGGGACTGCTGGTGTTTTTCTTAGATCGGATTTGAAGGAATTTCGGACAATCTCGAAGGCTCCTGGTGTATTTTTTTTTCTGAGCGAATTGGAAAAAAACTTGGAAGTGATTTGTTTTTGAAAAAATGTGAAAGAATCTTGTGGAGTGCTGGTGTTTCGTTTCAAAACGAATCTTGGAAGCATCTGCTGTTTTGAAAGAATTTGAAAAAACAATCGGGGGAGTCTAATACTTTGTTTTTGAAGGAATCTGAAAAAATGTTGTGGACTACTGATTTTTTGTCTTAGTACGTATTGGAGAATCTGGGACATCTTTAGTGTTTGTTTCACAACAAATTTAAAAGAATCTTAGGGGTGTTTTTTTTTAAATAATGTGAAAAATCTTGTGGAGTGCTGGTGTTTTGTTCTAGGACAAATTTAAAAGAACTTCAGAGAATTGTATTAGAATGAATGTTATTATATCATACATTAATATCACCTTAAGGCACCTTGCTTTTTTGAAAAAAAAAATTGAAACTGTGAAATAAAACTTTACAATCTCTTTAATGACTAAACTAGTTGTTCTAAAATTTAACATGTGTTTTAAGTTATCATCAACCTGATTAAGTATTTACAGGATGTTTCAGTTCTGTTTAAATAATTTTAGACCATTTTATTTTAAGTCGATTTTATGTGTGTTGCCTCGAAATCAACATGTAATTGGGCCTTAAACCGATAAATTTAGTATACCTAATGAATAAACAAAACAATTTATTGTGTTGTTTAAAAACATGTTCGTAAAAAATCGGGCTGATAGAAGTATTGTCTAAACTTAAACTATTTTCGTTTCTTGTTTTATTTTTTAATCTTATGTTTGGCACACCGAAACACCAGTTTTTCTCGTGCACACCGAACTGATTATGTTTCATAAAACCGAATCGCAAGCCACGCTGGAAAAAATCGTAAGTTCTCAATCCGGTTCTAAATTTAAACCCAATTTCCATCTGCCAAAGTTTTATCGTCTAGCACACCACATCTTCTGTTAATTCATCACCCACGCACAACCTGTTTATTTTCTCAATTGCTCCGTCAAATTTCCGACCTGGTGCTAATCCGCCTAATTGTTTTGTTCTAGTTGTCTGACGAAGTCAACCGCAAAAAATCCGAATACCAGAAGTACCTCGAATTGTACAAACTCATGAGGTCCCGATTCGAAGAGCACTATGTCAAGTGTAAGTATTATATAACTTCGAGCGACATTTCTCTGCTCCAATTAGGCATCCTGTTTACATGACCTGGTGATAGAAGAAAGTAGCGGCCACTTAACCTTCACTCGTACCTAACGCCAGCCAAAGCTAATAATAGTCAAAATGAACGAAATTAAAATTAGTTTCACCTCGGCTTTGCCAATAGGTGTTTCGCTCTTTCCTTCAAAGCAGCTTGTTTTCCAGCCGGAAGAGGCGGCCGAAAGTTGGACGAAGTGCGCGACAAGTACCAGAAGGCCTGCCGGAAGCTGCACCTCACGCACAACGAGTACGTACTTCTTCTGTGTGAAGCGGTGGAGTTCGAGAAGGACTTCCGAACCGTGCTGCTCCCCGGACTTCTGGAGCACCAACAGTCGCTGCAGGAAGCTTTCATCCTCGCATGGTGAGTAAAACCGACTGAGTGGAGTACCATTTACAATCGTCCCTCCAGGAAGCAGATTTTGCAAGAAGTGAGTACCAACTCGGACTGCACCGCCGACAAGTTCCGCGAAATCCAAAAAAGGATAGAGGCGAGTCTAGAATCGATTAAACCCAACGAGGAGTATAAAGATTTTACTGAAAAACATAAGTGAGTTTTGTGGGAGTTGTGGCTAAAATAACGTGTTTGTTTGTAGAACGACGCCTACAGAACCCGTGAAATTCACGTTTGACGAAAGTCTGGTGGAGGACAGTGCGGGGAAGTTGCTCCCGAACCAACTCACGGTTGATAATCTCACGGTCGAGTGGTTACGGAACAAACTAGCCGAATTAGAAACCAGTATTAAAGAAAATCAAGAAAAGCGTACTGCTTTGGTCACCAATCCAGAAGGGTTCGTCAACGGAAAAACCGAAGTCAATAACAGGTGCGCCTTTTCCGGGACTACTTTCGCAATAATAATGCAGGAGTTGCATTTTCTAGGTTAATCACAAACGTCGACTCGACGAAAAAGGAAATTAATGAGTTGAAATGCCAAGAACGGAAAATGCTGAAGCAGACCGAATTGATTAAGAGTGCCTTAAACGAGCTCGGATGCGAGGAAGTTCCATCCGGGTGCGATCTCTCCATTGATAATCAGACTTTTATTAGCAATTCTAGTGAACAAGTAAGTACGACTGGGTTCGGGGGAGTATTTAGTTTCCGCTAGTGATGGTACAATCGCACGCAATGTTTTGAGCCTATGGGCGGATCATTTTTGCCTGTCGTCACCGAAGGAGGCGGTCCAAATCGTCCAAGGGCAGAATTTGTAGGTAGGCTCAAACTACAACGAAATTTACGTGTTGACCAAATTCTTACCCTGAATTAGTTTTAATTTTATAAATACTTACTCTGAATTAGTTTTAATTTTATAAATACCCTATCTAAAATGTTCAGAATATGATGAGTCTATACTTGTGATTTACCATTCCATTAATATTTTTTGGATTTGTTTATACATACAGGGTGACTCAAAAAAAAATAATGACTGAGTCAATTTATTTTATTGAAGAAATCAAGAATTGCAAAACTGAATACTTTGAAATCTTGTCAATTAGTTAGAAAAAAAAAACCTGTCCTGCTCTAATAACATCGAGAATATGCTCAAAATCACACTAATATTAGGTCTAATTGTGCCGACCATAGTTATAAAATTCACATTAAAGTAAGTCACGGACATTTTTTGAAGTGTACTACATTTCAAAAAGCAAAAAAAAATGTTCAGTTTATAAACTTCTTAATTTTGGTTTAAAGTTTATCAATCATATTTGACGCTTTATTTTATCCGTTCCATTTGTTATCCTTTACTGCGGTCTCTCTTGGGTCGAGGTATAACACCGGACTGAACGTTCTTCGACCGATAGGATTATTTATTACTTCCGACATCTTTTCGGTGACAAATTTAATCTTTGCATACTTCAGCGTAGTTAGTGAACTCGTTGTGACCACTGAAATATACAAAGAGTAAATTTTGAAATGGAACGAAAGTCGAAGAATACTTTCAAAGCCACGATCAAAATGTATTTGCTTATCTTCGCCAAAAAATGCATGACGTCATCGTAAAATTTGATATGATGAGTCTATACCTGTGATTTATCATTGCAATAATATTTTTTAGATTTACTTATACAGCCTGTCTCAAAAAAAGGTCACTTCGATTTTCGATTTTTCGTTTTTTCGACCAACAGTTTCATCGAATTAGATTTTTCAGTTTCCATTTTTCTATCAACTTTTCGATTTTATTACTTTCTAATTTTCTGATTTTTCAAATTTGCGGTATTTTGATTTTTCGAGTTTTCAGTTTTTTCGTTTTTCGATTTTTTAATTTTTCGTGTTTTTGATTTTTCGATGTTTCGATTTTTTAATTTGCCATTCTTTCAATTTTCGATTTTTCGTTTTTCCATTTTTAGATTTTTTGATTTTTCTGTTCGTCAGTTTTTAGACTTTGCAATTTTTTTGCATTTTTCGATTATATTTTACTTTCTGGTTTTTTTGACTTTTGAATTCTCGATTTTACGTTTTTAATTCTTCGATTTCCGATTTTTCAATTTTCCGGTTTTTTAATTCTTTTATTCTCGATTTTTCGATTGTCCATTAATCATAAAATTTTTCGATTTTTCGGTTGTTTTATTTTTCGACCTTCGATTTTTCAACTTTCGATTATTCGATTTTCCATTTTCTGATTTTACGATTTTTCGATTTGCGATTTTTCTGTTTGTTTCAGTTTTTATGGTTCTGCAATTTGCAGCTTTTAGATTTCAATTTTGTTACTTTCCGATTTTCCACTTTTCGATTTTTTGATTTTTTTTCGATCGTCGTTTTTTCGATTTTTTGATTTTTCAATTTTTAGGCCTTGCAATTTTTTTACTTTCCGCTTTTTCGAGTATTTGTTTCATCGAATTTTCGATTTTTCGAGTTTTCGATTTTCGATTTTTCGAGTTTTCGACTTTCGATTTTTCGGTTTTTCCATTTTCCGATTTTCGATTTTTCGATTTTCCATGTTTAGATATTTTTCGATTTTTTTTATTTTTCGATTGTTCTGTTCGTCAGTTTTGAGACTTTGCAATTTTTACTTTTGTACTTTTGTATTATTTTAGTTTCGGATTATTCGATTTTTGAATTTTCGTTTTTTTTTCGTTTTTCGATTTCCGATTTTTTAATTTTTCGATTTTTCGGTTTTTTAATTTGTCGATTCTCGATATTCCGATTTTCGATTTTTCGATTTTCCAATCTTCGATTTTTCAATTTCCAGTTTTCGATTTTCCACTTTTTGATTTTACGATTTTTCGATTTTTCTGTTCGTCAGTTTTTAGGCTTTGCAATTTGTTTACTTTTCGATTTTTCGATTATTTTACTTTCCAGTTTTTTGATTTTTCAATTGTCGACTTTTAGAGTTTTCAATATTATGAATTTTCGAATTTTCGGTTTTCCTATTTTTCGATTTTTGATTTTTCCATTTTTCGGTTTTTTGATTTTTCAATTCTCGGTTTTTCAATATTGCGAGTTTTCGATTTTTCAGATTTGTGAATTTCCAGTTTTTTGATCGACCTACGTATTAGATTCATTGAATTTTCGATTTTCGATTTTTCCATTTTTACATTTTTGATTTTCCAGTTTTGCATTTTCAGATTTTCTGTTTTTCGCATATCTGATTTATCAAATTTTCGATTTTTCGGCTTTTCGATTTTTCGATATTTGATTTTCGAATTTTCGATTGTTCAGTTTTCCATTTTTCAGCTTTTAGACTTCAGTTTTTTTACTTTTCGATTTTCCAAATTTTCGAGTTTCAATTTTCAAATTTTTGATTTTTCGATTTTCTTTTTAAATCTTCGAATTTTTCGGTTTTGATTTTTCGAATTTTTGATTTTTAATTTTTCCATTCTTCGGTTTTTAGACTTCAATTTTCTTTCTTTTAAATTTTTCGATATTCTATTTTCCGCTTTTCATAATTTTCGATTTTCAGTTTTCAGACTTTCGATGATTAGAATTTTGGATTTTTCAGTTTTATGATTTTTCGATTTTTAGAAAATTTGAGGAGTCGAATTTTCGATTTTTCAATTCATCGATTTTTCTATGTTCAATTTTTCAATTAAATTTTGCGATTTTCAATTTGTCCATTGTCGATTTTAGAATTTTCGGTTTTTCAGTTTTTCCATTCACAACTGTTATATTTCAATTTTGTTACTTTCCGATTTTTTGGTTTTCGATTTTCCAATTTTCAGAATTTCCAAGTTTCTTTATTCAGATTTTCCATTTTCCACTTTTTCGATATTAGATTTTTCGAATTTTTGTTTTTCCAATTTTTTGCTTTTTCGATTTTTCTGTTCGTTTCAGTTTTTAGGCTTTGCAATTTTTTTTACTTTATATATTTTGATTATATTAATTTCCGATTTTTTTTTATTTTTGTTTTTGATTTTTTTAATTTTCAATATTACAAATTTTTGACTTTTCGATTTTTTGGTTTTCCCGTTTTTCAATTTTCGATTTTTCGATTTTTGAGGTTTGTGAATTTCCACTTTTCGATCGACCTAGGTGTTTGATTAATTGAATTTTCGATTTTTTGATTAGCCAGTTTTAGATTTTCGATTTTTACGATTTGTATTTTTCGATTTTCTGTTTTTTGCATTAGTGAATTTCAGTTTTTCCGATTTTTGATTTTGCGCATATTTGATTAATCAAATTTTCGAAAAAGTTACCATACTTACAAAAACTTAAAAACATCTACAATATTTCAAAGTATTCAGTTTTGCTATTCTTGATTTCTTCAATAAAATAAATTGACTCAGTCATTAACTTTTTTGAGACACCCTGTATAACCAAATCTAAAAAATATTAATGTAGTGATAAATTACAAGTATAAAACTCATCATATTTTATACATTTAAGATAGGATTTATTCTGCAAAATTTTGAGGTGACGTCATAAATTTTTTAGAGGGGATAAGCAAATATATTTTAATTAAAAATGTATCATGTTTATCATGATTTTAAAACATCTGCAAGATTTCAAAGTATTCGATTTTGCAAATTCAAAATTAAATTGCAAAATATTGTTTTATAATTTTGATTTTTTTTTTCCAAAAATCTGGACGTTTTGGATAAAAACTCAACACGGAGTCATAAACTACATGTGTAGGACTATGTTACTGTATACAATTTAAAACCCATTTACTATGCATAAATTTGAAGTGACGTCATCACATTATTGGTGGGGATGACTAGACAAATTTAATAATTTTGCGACATTTATGAAAAAAATATCAGTTAACAAAAATGGCACGTTTTTATTATTATGCCAGTTACATGTCACTCAACGACAATATCGTTTTTTTTAAGAGTATTTTATTTGAAAAAGTGATGAAATTTTTTATACGAAACAATTGCTCGAAAGATGTTAGAAAGCAAAATAATTCATGTCCGGACCATCGTTACTCACAAACGAAAGTGAGCATTATTTTATGGGAACAACTACCTGCTAAATCTTCTGCGACAAATTCGAGAGAACTGGTGTGAGCCATAAATATTTCTTACCAAATATATATATAACTACTGCCCATAGGCTCAAAACATTTGCGTGCGATTGTACGACTATCCTACCTACCATCCTTTCACGGTCCGGGTAAAAGTACTTAACCCTTGTAGGTTGGCAGTTCAGAAAGCACAAAGCGAGGGTTTACGCATCAAAAGATTGTTAACATGTTTCGAAAGCCGTTCCGGCGAAAATCTGTCCCTTCATCGCCTATCGCACCGCCTCGTACTAAAGGGAGAAGGGATTCGGCCCCTCGTAGCGAAGGGGGAGATCCTGTAGGTTTCTGGGTGACGTGCTAACTAACTTTCATCTTGCTTCCTAACGCACTTAGATAAGGTACTGCCCTAACCCCTCTGCTTCTACTAACCATCCCTTACATGTACGAACACCTGTCGTTACCCAAATGTATAGGTTTCCATGACCACGAACAAGTCTCTAGTGGACGAAGAGTGGTTCCATGGAGTACTGCCGCGCGAAGAAGTCGTCAGGTTGCTGACGCAAGACGGCGACTTTCTAGTTAGGGAAACCACGAGAAACGACGAGTGCCAAACAGTACTTTCGGTGTGTTGGGGCGGGCATAAACATTTCATCGTACAAACCACAGCTGAAGTAAAAGAAAGTACCGACCGCACTTTCGCTTTTCTAGAAAGAGTGTTGTAGGGCCATTATCGGTTCGAAGGACCTGCTTTCCCCAGCATCCGCGAACTCATTCTGTATCAGTTTAATAGCGGACTTCCTGTGACGGGACGTTCGGGTGCCATATTGTATAAACCAATCCCGAGGGAGCGGTGGGAGCTCAACAACGACGATGTAGTACTTTTGGATAAAATCGGCCGGGTAAGCGAGACACTACTCATTCAAATAATTATTATGAATGAATTAATCATAGGGCAACTTTGGCGACGTGTATCGAGCTCAGCTAAAGAACAGCAACGAAGTAGTAGCCGTGAAAACTTGCCGGGTAACCCTACCAGAAGACCACAAGAAAAAATTCCTGCAAGAAGGACGTATTCTGAAGCAGTACGACCATCCCAACATAGTCAAACTAATCGGGATTTGTGTGCAAAAGCAACCAATTATGATCGTCATGGAGTTAGTACCAGGAGGGTCACTTCTGACTTTTTTGAGGAAAAAGTCGCCCGCGTTGACGGACGGGCAGCTAATGAAGATGTGTCTGGATGCAGCAGCGGGAATGCGCTACTTAGAATCCAAGAACTGTATACATAGAGATTTAGCAGCGCGGAATTGTCTAGTTGGTAAGTGTTTACTGGTTATCTTCAAGTGTAATCACTAGTTTGTAGGTTACAACAACGTGGTGAAGATTTCCGACTTTGGTATGTCTAGAGAAGAGGAGGAGTATATTGTTTCAGATGGAATGAAGCAAATTCCGATTAAATGGACGGCACCGGAGGCTCTAAATTTCGGTAATTATTTGTATTTCCCGCGCTTGTGCGTGACATTTCGTGAACAGCGCCACCTGTGGTGACAGCACCAACGACTCGTGTTTTATGTGTTGCATAACTTGTTTATTTTCTAGGAAAATACACCTCTTTGTGTGACGTCTGGAGCTACGGGATTCTCTGCTGGGAGATCTTTTCCCGCGGCGGGACCCCCTACAGCGGCATGAGTAACTCAAAAGCCCGAGAAAAAATCGATTCGGGTTATCGGATGCCCGCCCCTGAAAACACCCCGGACGAAATGTACAGACTAATGTTAAGATGTTGGGAGTACAAGCCTGAAAATAGACCCAACTTTGAACAAATTTATACAGTTGTTGAGACTTTATGTGCCGCGTATAGAGTGTCATTCCTTTGATTGACATTTTTTATTTCTGTGATTAAATAAAGCTCAGAAAATATTAAGAATCTATAAAGATAAAAGTATTTTTTAATTATGAGTGTGCTATTAATTACTGTGATTGTAACGAGGCGTTTGATGGACTAGTTTAAGAAATTACTAAGCCTTTTATAACTTGTATGTATAAAGTTTGACTGAGTTTTGAATAAATGTTTTAATTTTTTTGATTATAAATACAGGTTTATGAGTTCGTCGCTGACGGCAGAGGGGGTTAGAATACCGAGGTCGGTAAATAGAAGGGTGATGTAGGACGGGGGGGTGTAGTCCACGAGAGGGTGGACTTCTTTCAACTCCCTTTCTTCTAACCTACTTTTACTAGGAGTGTACTGAAACAAAACATTTAAGTCACTTTTATACTCAGTAATATACTTACCTTATATTCTGCAGGCAGATCGCCCTGATTTAACGGAAATAACCGCGTAAATTTAAAACTCTCAGTCAATACATAAAACGGTCTCTTCATTTCTTTGGCACACACAGCTATAGTGTAACTACCAACCTTAAAAAAATAATAACAATGCGTGAGTTTTAAAAATACCAAAAACGTCATACTTTATTAATAATCCCGCCGCTTTCCACCACTCCTTCAGCCCCTACCATAACAAAATCAACTTGTTCCATAACGTAGCCCACAGCAGAGTCCAATATTAAAGTGCAAGGGATCCCCTCAGCTTTCAAATTTTTACACATGACTTCACTACAACAAATTTCAAAAAAAAAGAAAAAACAAAAAAAATACATACCCGCTATTATCAGGCGCCGACTGCGTCACATACACTTCAAAATGATTACTTTGCTTCCACGCTTCAGTTAAAGTCTTCAAAACAACTCGAGACCGAGAATGAGTCAATACTTTCTAAAACACAATCAAACAACTTTGGTTACTTAAACCACACAAACTTACTGAACCATCTGCAATAAACTTAGTGGCCAATTTTACTATTCTGTCCCTAAATTGTTGCAACTTCTTCAGAAAAATATCGCCCCTATTTAACATAACCTGTCTACATTCTTCAAAGTTCTAAAAAAAATTATTAAATTTGGTTGATTAAGTTTGCACACTTTACTGAATCATCAAGTTTGGCCAAAGTGATAAACCGCATGAAGAGCTCACAGCCTGAGTTGATAGCCGTAACTGGATGATCCGTGGTTTTCATGGCAGAAATCCCTTCTTTGAGATTCTTCTGCAAACCTTGCACCGTCATGTCTGAAATTTTGACTTAATTTTGAATCGCTTGTCGTTAATGTTTACCTTCGTATTTCTCGATTATTTTCATTAACGTCATTATAGCGACGACTCCCACTGAAAGGTCTTCATTGTCGGAGACGGTTCTACTGAAGAAATCTCTCACTTCTAAAAAATATATTTTGAGTTAAAAAGCGTGTGCGTTTTCGAGTGAAGACCTTCTTTTTTCATTTTTGGAACTAGGGTGAGTCAAATTTGTCTCAATATTTGGAATAGTTGCATCAGAAGGTTAACACGATTTTGTTGACAACTTTGACATGTGTGATTGTCGGAAGTCGGAAGTGGCTACCCGAATGTTCTCTGGTGGCTACGGTGACGTTTCTTGACACTCAATTCATGCAAAAAATAACCTGTTAATCGTTTTTTTTTTTATTTTCACCTTTAGACTTGTACAAATCGTGTAATGTTACGTGTTACTAGTTAATTTATTCGTAATTTGTTAAATCGTGAATTTCGTTTCGTAGGTGGCGCCACTTGGCTACCTTCTGTCAGCCAATCGCCAGCCGCCTGTTCCGTCACGTGCCCGTACCAGTCTACGATTTTATCAATTGTGTAGTTGATGTGGATTGCCCTGTCATCCTTCAGTTTTTTTGGATTATTTTGGCCTAAAATTACATTTATGTAAGTACAATTTGCTTTTTAATCCCCGACCTCGTCGCCAATAATAAAATCGAACCATTTTGGCTGTTGTTTTAGTGAATATCGGCAATATGTTGTTGTGGGGTTTATAATTGTATGTCGCCATTTTCCTCGGTACAGTTACTTTCTGCTTCATTGTTATTGAAAGAAACTTTCGAAATTCCAGTAGAAAGTTGCTTGGTTTTCATCATGGAACGTTTTTGGGTCACTTTATGGCTTAATTAGCCTTTGGGATTGAGTGCAGTTGAGAAAATTCGATTGGGTGCTTACGCAACGCACTTGTTATTTCTCAGCTCCGTTAAGTCACACTTTGTTTTCGTCGAAATTTTTGGAAAATTTGACCAAATTTTCCCATTCTATGAACTCCGTTTCGTCATGGATGTTTTGAGTGGTGTTATCGCGATGTCTGCTAGTAAACAACGATCGAAAACATATTTGTCGCAACAATAAAAACGACAATATTTTTGTTTATTTATAAAGTTCAAGCGAGCGTGTGGACGATTTCACCTTAAGTACAACAGGTCGATCGTAAAAATGAAAATTGTTTAGCCTTGGGTTTCGATAGTAAACCTTGAGCTGTAGGAAAACTGTTTTGGCAGATCTGATTGATTTAAGGTTTATTTGTTGGCAGAATTCGCTTTTTTCAACGGAAATTGGCCAGAACGTAGAGCCCTTGAGGGAATTGCGGGATTTATGGGGTCCAGGTGGGAACGTAAAGCACGATTTTCTATTATGACGGGGCTATTGTGTGACGAAGCACGTTTACGTGGAAAGAAAATCTTTGTTTAGACTATATTCCAACGTTGCACATAACCGAGATTATTTGTCCAGTCGAATGTATTCTTTGTTGTTATATGTGAGTGTTTTCTGCGAAATTTTGGCCCGGGGCCAGGACTGGGTCTGGTGGATTCGTTCAAGTGATTTTCATGTGACTAAAACACAAATACGTTGTTAGTAAGATGTGCACGTTTGATTACTAGTAAAAGTCAGCTTTGACGTTCGTATTTTTGATTGCCAAAATGCGCTTTGTTGTAAACAATAAATCAAGTATTTCGCAATTCAGGTCGTGGTACTGAACTTCGGAATCAAGTTGCCTGTACTAGGAACGTCATTTTGCAGCCACTAAAATTTTGACACGTGGCACTGGGTTCTACGTGCTTCTAGCATAGTGTCATTAAGGTCTACATATCGTAATTGATACAAAAATATATCGGGCGATCAGCATAATTTGTGATCAAGTCATCCTTGGAAAGGATTATTAACAGGTGTTTAAGTATCGCCACAAAAAACTATGTAGGAGTAAGATCATAAGATCTTGGGGGCCACATACATATTCGCAGTATTTCGACCAAGGATCCGCTTGACACAAAATTCTTAATGCGCTGTAGTCCCGTCTTGTTCAAAATAACCCATGTGTTGTGTAAAATTTGTCAAAATGAAGGAATATATCGTATGTATAGTAATTCTAATTGCAATGTCATTTATCAAAAAACTACGATTCTGTAGGTTTACAAATTCTGTGAGATTTTATGGCACCAATAAAACTAGTAATTGAAAATAATATTCCCTGTTGTGTGGTTTGTGGCCAGCACGACCCTCTGCCATCATAAATTAATATTTTGCACCAACATCTTGACAGCGGGTTCAGGTCCGGTCTCAGTTATGTTGCTGATTTCTGTATTTTATTTTGAATTATTTTTATTATTATTATTATTATAATTAAGACCCACCACTGACCCGGAAATGACCGGCATTCAGGCAAGACTTCTATCATTACGGGTACTAAGACCAAGTAATGATATGCATTGATTAGATTAACAGAACAACTTTCGAGATTCTAGAATTACAGCATACAAATTAGTCTGTAATATTATATAGAGGGTAAGCTTTTATTTTTGAAGACAGGACCTTTGTTCTTTGGATCAGGGGCGGCTTGTGTGAAAAATTAGTTATTTTCATCTTAAGAAGGGGGTATTCGCTGTCGCCATCATTAAACAGTGCATTGTTCGATTAGCAACTTTTTGAGTTTTCAACTTTCGGATTTTTAATTTTTTCGTTTTTTCAGTGTTTCGAATTTTCCGTTCCTCGATTTTTAATTTTGCTTTTCTCCAATATTTTGATTTGCAATTTTTTGAGTTCCCAGTTTAATTTTTCGATTTTTTAGTTTTTCGTTACTTCACTTTTGAGATTTGCAATTTCTAGATTCCACGATTTTTCTATTTTTGAATTTTATCGGTTCTTCAATTTCCCGTGTTGCAATTTTTTTGAAATTGCAAATTTAAAATTTTGTATTTTCAGTTTTTCGAATTTTTGGTTTGTTTGATTTTTAATTTTTCGTTGTGGCAATTTTTTATTCGCAATTTTTTAGTTTCCAGTTTTTTTAATTGTTAGATTTTGCACTTTCCAATTTTTCGATTTTTCAATCGAATTTCGTTGCTTCACCTTTTAGATTGGTTCTATCTATAATTATTTTTAGATTTTTCAATTTTTTGATTTTTTATTTTGGATGTTTCCATTTCTAGATTCCACGATTTTTCTATTTTTGAATTTTATCGGTTCTTCAATTTCCCGTGTTGCAATTTTTTTGAAATTGCAAATTTAAAATTTTGCTTTTTCAGCTTTTCGAATTTTTAGTTTGTTTGATTTTTAATTTTTCGTTGTGGCAATTTTTTTATTCGCAATTTTTTAATTTCCAGTTTTTTTAATTGTTGGATTTTGCACTTTCCAATTTTTCGATTTTTCAATCGAATTTCGTTGCTTCATCTTTTAGATTGGTTCTGTCCATTATTATTTTTACATTTTTCAATTTTTTGATTTTTTATTTTGGATGTTTCCATTTTTCCACGAAACAAAAAATTCTGCTTTACAATTTTTCAAAATTTCAGTTTGAATAAACTTGTTCGTGTTGTCCAAAATTTAAAAATGCAAAAACGAGAACTTGATTATTTAAAAGTTAAAATTTGAAATGACTGAAACTGAAAACTAGAAAAACTGCAAATCAAAAAATTGAAAACTAGGAAACTTGAAAGCGAAAAACTGTAAAATTGAATAATTCTAAATCGAAAAAGTTAAAAATCTATGCAACAATTAAAACAAATTCGAAAAATGGAAAAACTGCAAAATCGGAAAACTAAAGAATTTAAAAAAACTCAAAAATGGGTGCTATTAAAAAATGCTCAGTCGACACAATATAAATAAACGCGGTGAAAGAATTAAAAATTAATTAGTTAAGAAAACTTCAAATAGAAAAATTGAAAAATCGTGAAAATTTCAGTTTTAATAAATTTGTTCTTTTTGAATTAAATTAAAAATTAGAATCTTGGAAAATGAAACATTAAAGTACTGAGAACTTGAAAAATTTAAAAGCTAAATTAAAAATTGAGATCTCGATTAATTGAAATAAGGAAAAATTAAAATGTCTAAAAAATGAAAAAGAAGTGCAGAATTGAAATATTGAAAAATTGCAAATCAAAAATCTGGGAGACCAAAAATTGGAAAAATTAAACATTGAAAACTAAAAAACCAAAAGTCGGAAACTAAATTCGAAAAATTGAAAAAACAAAAATTCACAAATGGAAAATTCAAAAACTGAATCTAGAAATTGACAAACCCAGCTGACTGTAAAATCGAAAAATTCGAAAAATTGAAAACTAGGAAACTTGAAAGCGAAAAACTGTAAAATTGAATAATTCTAAATCAAAAAGTTAAAAACCTATGCAACAATTAAATAGAAAAATAGAAAAATTGAAGAGTTGATAAATAGAAACTTTGGAAAAATTAAAACATTCGAAAAATGGAGAAATTGCAAAATCGGAAAACTAAAGAATTTTAAAAAACTCAAAAATGGGTGCTATTAAAAAATGCTCAGTCGACACAATATAAATAAACGCGGTGAAAGAATTAAAAATTAATTAGTTAAGAAAACTTCAAATAGAAAAATTGAAAAATCGTGAAAATTTCAGTTTTAATAAATTTGTTCTTTTTGAATTAAATTAAAAATTAGAATCTTGGAAAATGAAACATTAAACTACAGAGAACTTGAAAAATTTAAAAGCTAAATTAAAAATCGAGATCTCGATTAATTGAAATAAGGAAAAATTAAAATATCTACAAAATGAAAAAGAAGTGCAGAATTGAAATATTAAAAAATTGCAAATCAAAAATCTGGGAGACCAAAAATTGGAAAAATTAAACATTGAAAACTAAAAAACCAAAAGTCGGAAACTAAATTCGAAAAATTGAAAAAACAAAATTCACAAATGGAAAATTCAAAAACTGAATCTAGAAATTGACAAACCCAGTTGACTGTAAAATCGAAAAATTCGAAAAATTGAAAACTAGGAAACTTGAAAGCGAAAAACTGTAAAATTGAATAATTCTAAATCGAAAAAGTTAAAAACCTATGCAACAATTAAATAGAAAAATAGAAAAATTGAAGAGTTGATAAATAGAAACTTTGGAAAAATTAAAACAAATTCGAAAAATGGAGAAACTGCAAAATCGGAAAATTAAAGAATTTTAAAAAACTCAAAAATGGGTGCTATTAAAAAATGCTCAGTCGACACAATATAAATAAACGCGGTGAAAGAATTAAAAATTAATTAGTTAAGAAAACTTCAAATAGAAAAAT